CAGGACAGGCACAAAGCTACATAGAGAAATCCTGTCTCGAAAGACCAAAAAAAAAAAAAAAAAAAAAAAAATCCCACTGAGCCGTGCAGCGGTGGGTACACGCCTTTAATCCCAGCACTTGAGAGGCAGAGCCAGGTGGATCTCTGTGAGTTCTAGGCCAGCCTGGTCTACAGAGTGACATCCAGGACAAGGACCAAAACTGCATGGAGAAACCCTATCTCAAAAAGCCAAAAAAAAAAAAAAGCCGAGCGGTAGTGGCGCACGCCTTTAATCCCAGCACTTGGGAGGCAGAGCCAGGCGGATCTCTGTGAGTTCGAGGCCAGCCTGGGCTACAGCGCGAGCTCCAGGAAAGGCACCAAAACTACACAGAGAAACCCTGTCTCGAAAAACAAAAAAAACAAAAAACAAAAACAAACAAAAAACAAAACAAACAAACAAACAAACAAAAAAATCCCACTGAGACTGTGAGTGGTCAGCCACCACAAATGGGTCAAATGGGTCATATAAATCAATCTCCCCTCACTCAAGGTTCAGAGAACAGTACACATGAAAGAGTGGGCAAAAGACATGTAAAAGCTGGAAGAGAACTCTGTGAAATGTCTTCTAGACATGACACACAACTCACAGCAGCTGTTGTTGCCTGCACAAGACCTGCATGAGATAAAGCCAATCAAAATTCCAGCATGGACCCCAGTGGTTGTGGTGCACACCTTTGATTTCAGTATCGGGAGGCAGAGGCAGTCGGGTCTCTGTGAGTTCGAGGCTGGCCTGGTCTACAAGCGAGTTCCAGAACAGCCAGGGTGACACAGAGAGACCCCATCTAGAAAAACAAACAAAAAAATTCCAACATGGGTGAAGGAGGGACTCCTGAGGTCCCACTCCTAACTAAAAGCTATTGGCAGCTGATGGCTTCTAGGAGAGAGTCACTTTTCTTTGAGGATGTGGACACTGTCCATGCCCCAGTGGATAATCCCACACCCATATGCATATGGGTAACATTAATTAGAATCAGTGGGCTGGGGACTGGGGAGATGGCTGAGAACAAAAGATAAACAACAACAACAACAACAATAATAATAATAATAAAAGGACTTGGAGTCAAGAGGCTGACAGGTTGGTTGGTCCCAGGGAAGAGGTGGAGGGAGGTAGTAGGGGGTTTGATAAGATCAAAAAGCATTGTAGACATGCATTTAAGTTTCAAAAACTGAATACAAAATATTACTTTGGGCTAATGGTTGTAGGTCAGCACTTACCCTGTGTACACAAAACACTAGGTTTGCCATGCCTGGTGGTGCAGGCCTGTAATTCTATCTGCTCAAGAAGTTGAGGCAGGAGGATTGTAAATTAGGGCCTGCTTGGACTACATAGTGAGTTACAGGCCAACTAGTGATATACATGGAGAACTTTTCTAAATAAGTAAATGAGTGAATAAATAAATAAATTCCATACTGTAGTCAAAACCACTGAATACTTTTTTTTTTTTTTTAACCATTCTGGATCCTCCAGAAGCTGCCACTGGGCTTCACCTCCTGGGCAACCAGAGGGGACAATCTGATTAGTCAGTGTTTAGTTAGTGTTGCCCTTTGACCTGTCCCCTAAGACAAGCTGTTTCCATAGCTTTCAGCCACAACCTGGCCAGACAGACAATCCCAACCTCCCCCATTTTTTCCTATACCAATTTCTGTCTTAAGCTTTGTAGCAGGGTAAATGGAATGCCCCCCAAAGACGTGCACATAAAATCCGTGAGGCCCAAGAATAGAATCTGATTGGGAATAGGGTCTTTTTGTTTTGTTTTGTTTTGTTTTTGTTTGTTTGTTTGTTTTGGTTTTTCGAGACAGGGCTTCTCTATATAGTTTTGGTGCCTGTCCTGGATCTTGCTCTGTAGACCAGGCTGGCCTCGAACTCACAGAAATCCGCCTGGCTCTGCCTCCCGAGTGTACCACCACCGCCCGGCTGGGGATAGGGTCTTGACAATGACATCATTTGAGATTGTCTTCATGGCCTCTCAATCCTTAGAGACTTAGTGACACAGGGCAAAGAACTCCTTAGTGACACAAAGAAGAAGAATGGTCATGTGGTCACTGAGGCAGAGGCAGGCGTGACTCAGTCACAAGCTAAGGATGGAGAAAGACAGGGGGCAGTCAATAGTAGCTAGGAGACACTGCAGACGCCTTTTCCCCAGAGCTCTGGCAGCAAGAGTGATCTTGTCCGCAGTTTTTGGTTTTTTTGTTTTGTTTTTTTTTGTTTGTTTTTTGAGACAGGGTTTCTCTGTGCAGCCCTGGCTGTCCTGGAACTCACTCTGTAGACCAATCTGGCCTCGAACTCACAGAGATCTACTTGTCTCTGCCTCCCAAGTACTAGGATTAGAGGCGTGTGGCACCACCACCCAGCTTCAATTTTATTTATTTATTTATTTGTTTGTTTGTTTATTTGAGACAGAGTCTCAGGTAGCCCAGGCTGGCCTCAAGTTCACTCTGTAGCCAAGAATGAACTTGAGCATCTGATTCTTCTGCCCCCACTTCCAGAGTGCCAGAGTGTGGGGCTTATGGGCTGCAACACTGTATGCAATTTTATCTTGGCAAAGAAGTGCTAGAGATCTACCTCGGGCTGTGTGCATGCTAAACACACATCCCATCGACTGAGCTATATCCCCACCTCCCATTCACAACACAAGTTCAGACATCTCACTTTCAGAACTGGGAGCAATATAGTTCTGTCAGTTCAGATTCCTGTGCATATGGGGCTTTTCTGCCACTGCTGCTTCGGGAAGCCGCAGAGCAGCTCCTAAAGTTCCTGCGCCCATGGAGCATGGACAGGTGAGGAAGGACTGTCAGTGATTGGTCTCATAAATAGGCAACATGAGATCCCAGGCGTAGGAACTGGCAGCACCAAGGGCCAAGGTGCATAGATCAAGGAAAATCTTGTGCAAATGTCGCCCAAACTGTAGAGCTGGGATGAGCCAGCTCACCTTTCAGGGGCCTGCCCTCAGAAATTGAGTACTGTTCCTTGATGGCCACTTCTACCTGCAATCTCAGCACCCTAGAAGCGAAGGCAGGAGAATCATTAAGAACTCAAGGAGTAAGGAGAATCATTAAGAACTCCAGGAGGGCTGGGCAGCAGTGGCATATGCCTTTGATCCCAGCACTCAGGAGGCAGAGCCAGGTGGATCTCTGTGAGTTCAAGGCCAGCCTGGTCTACAGAGTGAGATCCAGAACAGGCACCAAAATTGCACAGAGAAACCCTGTCTTGGAAAAAAAAAAAAAAAAAAAAAAAAAAAAGAACTCCAGGAAGAACTGGGCAGTGGTGGCACATGCCTTGGGAGGCAGAGGCAGGCAGATCTCTGAGTTCAAGGCCAGCCTGGTCTACAAAGTGAGTTCCAGGACAGCCAGGGATACACAGAAAAACCTTGCTTCAAAAAACAAACAAAACAAACAAACAAACAAAAAGAATTGGTATTCTGCAAGTTGATTCTGCTTTGAGGGTGTCCATATTCTTTTCTCTGTCTCTGTCTCTGCCTCTGTCTCTGTCTCTGTCTCTGTCTCTCTCTCTCCAAGGTCTTGCTATGTAGCCTTGGTTGGCCTGAAACACCACCTAGACTAAGCTGGCCTCACACTCAGAGATCTGCCTGTCTCTGCCTCCCATGTACTGGCCACCACCATCCCACCCTACACGCTCCCCAACACTCGCTGATGTCAGTATTCTTCACTGGCATTGGGGGTAAACTGTTAAAATAACTTTATAATGGGAAAACGATGGACACAGGGTCAACGTATATTGCTGGAGTCTAATTGGAAGAGTGCAGAGTGCATGCTGAATTTTCCTGGGGCTGTTAGGACAATTCAAATGAGCAGTACGGGAAGGAATGGAGTTTCATAGCTGCTTTTGAAATGATACATCCCACACAACAATGAATAAATTGAAAACAAATGCGCCCATCATTTGAGTGGGATGTCGATAGTAATAGCAATAGGTCTGACAAAGTAACTACATAAAAGGAAATAAAACCGGCTGAGGACAAAGCTTCACTTGGCGCACTTGCCTAGGATGCCCAAGGTTCTACTTCCAGACCACAAACACCCCAACCCAAACATAAAGAAAAGCCGCAGGAACCATGACAGGATCAAAGACTGAGAAGGAGCCTTAATGCTAACTCCTCTTCCCTCACCTTCTCCTCCAGGCTTCCTCCCTGTTCCCCAGCAGCTCCTCCCCCTCCAGGCTCCGCCTCAAACCCCGCCCCCAAGTTCTTCTCCTCTGCTCCTAGGCCATCCACCCCCGCATCCTGACTCCTCTGTGTGTCTTCCCAAGCTCCTTTTCTCTCCTGGCTTCTACCTTTGTCTTTACCACTCCTCCGCCGACTCCCGCAATGCCCCTTTGCTCCCCCAAACGCCCCTTCCTCCTCCACTTCTTCAGGCTTCTGGTCTAAATCCTAGTCCTCTTCTCCCCAGCTCTTCTTCCTCCGGCTCCTTCCCTGCTCCTGCTTTCCTCTCATCCTGCCCCCTGCAGCTCCTCCCCATCTCCTAGTCAAACCCCCCCCCCCCCCACTTTCTCAGGATCCTCTTCTCTCTCCACGCCTCTTATTCTGGATTTTGCTCTTCTTGACATCTCCTGCCATTTTCTCCGGCTCCTCCTCTCTCCCCTCCCTCCAGATCTCCTCCTCATCCTCTTCTCTCCTCACTACCACCCTCCTCCCAACACCTCTTCCGTTCCTCCTTTTCCCCAGCTCCTCCTCCTCCCCCTCCAACCTTTTCCCTTCCCTTCACCATCCCTCTCCGACTGCTCCGCCTCTCTCTCCTCTCTCTCTCTCTCTCTCTCTCTCTCTCTCTCTCTCTCTCTCTCTCTCTCTCCTCTCTCTCTCTCTCTCTCTCTCTCTCTCTCTCTCTCTCTCTCTCTCTCTCTCTCTCTCTCTCTCTCTCTCTCTCTCTCTCTCTCTCTCTCTCTCTCTCTCTCTCTCTCCTCTCTCTCTCCTCTCTCTCTCTCTCTCTCTCTCCCCCCCCCCCCTCTGTTGTCTGCCCCGCCCCGCGGAGTAATCGATGGGTCCGTACGCAGCCAGTCCTCGGCGCTCGGCTCGCCACGCCTGCGACGCTGCCATGGAGACGTACGTAGCCGCAGCCCTCCTGGCCCTGCCCCGGACCTGGAGCATCTGCGTCACCTGGGCCACGCGTGTCCGCGAGAGCCGCTCAAGAAGGCTGCTCCGCTGGAGCGTCTGGACAGGGCCGGGCAAGCGATCCTTTTGCCAGAAGCAGGGGCGCGGGACGTGGGGCTTGCATCCTCCCTCCTCCCAGGAACTCTGCTCCATAGTTGAGGGACGCTTCTCGCACCAGCGGAAACCCTGGCACCACTAACCATCCGTGGGTTATTAAGGGACCCGCGATTGGCCCACACGCCTCACCTTTCTACCCAGCTCAGCTGGCCACATCTGTGAGTAGCTTCACTGAACGCTGGCCCATCGATGCTGCTCTTGATGGCGAGTACCGTGATGGGCCTGCTCCCGAGGCCCGACGGTTTCTTCCCTTTGCAGTGTCACCCTTGCTAAGAGAGGAAGACTGGCTGGAAAAGGACCTGCACCAGCACTAAGTACAGATTCCAACTGCGTTTTGAGTGGTGTGAACAAGTCAGCCCCTGCTTCAGACTTTACAATGCTCGTTCTCTCAGGACCCTGGATACATCTCCTTGAGCTCAGAAGCATCGCAGAGGCAGTGGACACCTAACAGGCCGCCAAGAGTGGTGTGGAGTCTCCATCAACGCTGTACAACTCTACTGTACAGAGCTTGGACCACAGCGCCAATCTGAACCATTTTCTGTCTGGAATGGCTCTCACATGGCTTCTGAACAGGGTCAGAGGTGTCTTGGCTTCCCCTGCCCTCCTGAGATCTTGCCCATGGGAGGTCTGAGCTGCCTACCTCCACTATTAAGTTGAACAGCCATCAAGGCTGTTGGCCAGCTAGTTAAAAGAGCAAAGCAGCCAGCCGCTTCTGACCTAGGAGAGCCAGGTGTGCAGGAGCCTGGGGCTGGGGGATGAGCGGTCGGGTCCCGCTGGCAGAGAAGGCCCTGTCAGAACGCTATGCCCGCCTCCGGTACAGGGACACTTCCTTGCTGATTTGGCAACAGCAGCAGCAGAAGTTGGAGTCTGTACCACCTAGTACATACCTGAGCAGGAGCCGCAGCATGTGGTACTCCCAGTATGGAAATGAGGCCATCTTAGTCCGAGACAAAAACCAGCTTGGGGTCTCTAAGGACACTGGCCAGTCTAAGTTTTGCTCAATCATGTAATTCCAGGGAGATCCTTAATGGCTATGAAGATCAAGACGTGGTATAAAAACTCAACACCCAAGAATATCACCCAGCTCTTTATCAATGGCACACTGCCGAGGCCCTGGCAATGCTTCCAAACAAAGAGAGAAGCCAGTGAGATGTCCCCAGCTCCTATGAGCTGCTTACCTGATACAGAATGGGTCAGGTCCAGGGTAAAGAGGGGACTCTGTTCCTGGAGGGTCTCAGATCTGTCAGTTCACTGCAGTGACATGTGAAAAGGGGCCAGAGCTGGGGTGGCATTCCAAAACCAAGAGTTTTAGTGACCAATTGCTATACATTACTGCATTGTGGTAGCACCCACACTGGTCTTGTATATAGGTGTGTTGTGTCCTAAACACCTTAAGTAAAACCCTCCAATTTAAAGCTCCATCTAAGTTGCCTGGGTTGATTCCAAACTTAATCGTGTGGGAAAGAGCATTTGCCCAATGGTGGAGCATCGGGACCTCCTTTCTATCAGGTTGCAGTGGTCTATCACATGTTCCACCTCAGTACACATGGTGTGGACAGCTGGAACATACTTGCCTATGTAGCAGTTCAAGTGTGTGGCTATGCAAATTCGGGGATGTGTTTTGTCAAAGTTGAGCCTTCTAAATAAACGTCTTAAGACTCTACCCTTTCTCATTTATCTTGGTGTGTAAAACCTTATTTGGCTTTCTGAAATAACAGTAATGGCTAATGATTGTTAAGAGCCCCAATACAGGGATACATAAAGCAAGCACGGTCCCTCCCTCAGGACAGCCACTGTCAGAAGGCATGCATGCCCTCTCACTCTGCACTGTGTGCTCAGTCACAAACTGCGCCAGTGGCATTATCCCCACTTGCACCCTGCTCTGCCCACTCCTCACCAGGCACTTAACTGGCACAGAGATGGCACCTGGCTTATAATCTATGCTAAGAGCATGTCTCACGCGTGGCCATGTTCACTGTAGTGTATCTCTGCAGATGTGCACGTTTGTACTAGGACCACCAGGACACAGTGCACTCCTCAAACACTTCACCCAGCCACAGACCTGGCTAGCTGGAGCCTCCTGAGGAACCTAGGTCACTTGGCTCAGTGGACTTCTGCAGTGTATTCTTGTACATTTAGAGGGGAAGCTCGTACAGTACAGGCTGGTTGGTCTGACTGGGAGGCCTAGCACTTGGAAACTGTTCCAAGTTCATTAGTTTGTCAAGCCTTTCAGTTCCATTGAAGTCCTGCAAGCAAGCTTCAGACTTATTGGCAATTTCTGCCACCTGCTGACACCTCACCCTAACCCAAGACCACATCAGACACAGCACTGACTTGGAGACAGGATTTGAGGTCACAGACTGTTGGAAGGGTAAGCACTTGTGAGGCAGCTTCATCAGGAGCGGGTGGCGCACAAGCATCAGGCCCCACGTAGGACACTGGGGAGTCACTAAGCTGCTTAGACTACAGGAAGATGCCATCTGTGTTTAGGAGGCCAGGCCAGTGCTGGAAGAGACTAGTCCGATGAGAAGGGTTAGTGTCAGCAAGAACGACCCATTCTTGATGGGGTGGACATGCCATAGGACCCAACATGAAATGAACCTCCCGCCCAGGCTTGATGCCAATGGTTTGGCCATTTGGAAAACTTTAGGGTCCTCATTCCTTCTTCATTATGTCTAAGCCACGGCACAGCCTGTTCTCAGGGAGTGCTATACGGTTCTGTATACATTCTCACCTACATTTCCACTGGGCTCACTACATGTGGAGGCCTATGCCAAATAACCTGGCAGTAGACTGCAGCAAGGTGGGGATGTAACAGACATTAGGTGAGACCATCTGAGGAAAGCCTTGAAGACAGTCAGTCCAAGTGAGGACTGCAAAGGACTCCCTGTCCCCCAGCACCATGACAGAAGATGGCAGCTACTCCAAGTCCTTTGCTGTTGTTCTGTGAAAGGGCTCCCACTCTTACTGTGTTGTGGACTGGCCTTAAACAATTCACAGCAGCCAGGCAGTGGTGGCACACACCTTTAATCCCAGTACTTGGGAGGCAGAGGCAGGTGGGTCTCTGTGAGATCGAGGCCAGCCTGGTCTACAGAGTGAGTTCCAGGACAGCCAGAGCTGTTACACAAAAAATGCTGTTTCGAAAAAACAAAAAACTAATAATAATGATAATATTAATAGTAATTCACAGCAGTTCTACTGCCTCAACCTCCCAACAGATTACAGGTATGTGTCACCACACTTAGCTCCGAGTGTTTCTCAAAGCCCTTTTTGGATGTTCTATGTAGTTCTACCAAGAGCTGTAAGAGGTAAAGTATGAGGAGCTTATCCCGTGCTCTTAGAAAGAGGCACCGCAGCAAAGAGCACTACGCAGACATAGCCTTTTTCCCCTTCTTTTTATTATGAAAACAAAACAAACACCCCAGGAGAAAGGTTCATGATTACCAGAGACACCAGAGTACTTCCTACCGTTTTTAACTCTGTGGTGTTGAGGCCGGCATTGCAAAAAACAAGCTAAAACTACTTACAATGGACTCATTTTCAGTAACTGACATTTACAGGAATATACTAGAAACGGCACTAAAAAGTTTTAAGAAAAGTTACGGTAAACTTGCATGCACATCATACAGAAAAGAAACATTTTAAATATATATATATAAAAAAGAAAAGCTTCTGGAAGTGTTACACCAGTAGCCGGGACAGTGATAAACAGGGTGACAAGGCTTTAACAGTGTGACAGCTGCAAAAAGACAAAGAAAACCACACAAGAAAATGTCTCCAGTCTGTAAGCGAGCGAAGTTACACAGCCCGAGGAGGCCTGCACCCCAAAGCCCACTCCTCGGCCTCCAAGACTCTGCCAAGTGCCCACCCCCACCCCTGCATGTGACCCTCAAGGAAGCTATGGACAGCTGCCCTCCACCTCTGTACAGGGCAAGCTAAGTCTCTGCAGCCTTTGTAACTCAGAAGAAGGGAATGGCAGTTACCCTGCAGCCTGGCATCGTGAGAACCAATGCCCTCCAAAACTCTGGAGACAAAACAGTTTATGTCTGGACAGAAAGCTTTTTTTAAAAAAAGTTAAAAGCACCAATTACAGAAGCTGCTCAGTAGGGACCAGTCGTGGAAATGCCAGACCCTCCATCCCCTGCAACCAGCTCTACACCACGGCCCCGCTGCTGGGATGCCACTCCAGGGCCGGACTCTGCTTGCCTAACAGCTCACAGAGGCACTCTGTGTATACCCAGCCACTGCGCCCTGCCTAGGCACGCTGGCTAGGCTGTCACGGTAGGCCACCAGAGACCCCATGTGAAGGCCTGTCAATTTCCTCATGTTTATTTCTTACAGTCACAGCTTAAATATTCTATTAAAGATCTGTTTAAAAAATACCTTTGAAGAACAAGGGTAACTTTAAAAAAATGGAACCTTAAAATCCACTTATATTTTTATTATAAACAAAACTGGCTTACAAGTTTAACAAACTGGCTGATAACTCACCAGGCGTCTAGACATGGCAGTCAGCCAGCCACTTCCCGAGCTTGACACCCACTACCTGTCCACATCCACAAGGGCTGGTGGAATTGACTTTAGGTATTTTAAACATCTCCCATGTAGGGATGTTGAGGATGAGTCCTGGGCTCTGCCTAGAAGCAATGGAAGAAACTGCAGGGACCCCCACCACAAGTAAAACCACCCAACACAAGGCTCTGCACTTGGCCCTTTGAGGTGGGGGGTCAGAAGAATCAGTTTCCTGGGCTAACTGGAAATTCTTGAACAGGGACCCCTGCGGTCAATCAGGCTCACCTTTGCCCCCGTCCAAAGTAGGGAGGTCAGGAAGAGAGCCTCCACAGGCTGGAGAGGCAGGTACTTACAGGCCGGGGAGATTGGCCCGTGTGCTCCTGCCTGAGGCCACAATGCTCAGAGCTAATCCAGGCTGACCCTGAATTCCAAAACCGTTTGGAAGCCTCAAAAACAACAAACTGAGAAGTTTCTGTTAAACTCTGTATATTATTACTTTTTACAATAGAAAATTAACTGTCAAGACCTTGGCCTGATATACATCGCTTTTCTCTCAGCTTACAAAACGTGTGTTGAAGAACCGAGGTTCCCTCCGTTGATGTTAGCAAGAAAGAACTGGACAGACAACATAAAATGAGGATGTGCTGCAGCCGAAGGGTGTCTACACTTGTAAAGTCCCCAAATTTCATTTAAAAAAAAAAAAAAAAAAAGCCAACGAGCCCAGAGAGCCCAGACGTGATGAGCACCAGAGGGGCACACCGCCACAGGACCGATCTTCTCACCACGGGTCCAGTCTCCTCGTCGCCAGAGGCCTGCATCTCCACTACTTCTCCTAATGCACTTATTTATGGTTTTTTCTTTTCTTTTTTTCTTTTTTTTTAAAAATGACCAATGATGTTAATAAATAAAGTATTTATATATACATAAAACTGGGGAGGTGGTTCAGAGTGTGAGGCGGCGGCAGCCAGGCAGCGCTAGCAAAGTGGGGCACGCTGGGCTGGACTTCTGTAGAAAATGGATGAACTTACAAAAAAGTTTTTTTGTTTTTTTTGTTTTGTTTTTTTTTAATCTTTTTGTTTTTTGTTTTTATTCCCTTAAATTGAGGTAAAAGTTTCGGTGTCCCGAAACCTGCACGCTGTACACACAGCCATAGGGCTAGAGAACTCAGCACCCCTCTTCCTCCACGCCCAACTCAGAGGTGGGAGGCTCTGGTCTGCAGCTACGAGGACCCTCCGCTGGGGCCCAGCCTGGTTTCCGTGGGCTGACACATCTGTCCTCAGCCCCTGCAGAGAGAAGTAACCTGCTGGTTAGTGTTCTCACAGCTTTCAAACACAGAACCCATTCCAGAGCAATACCCTTGAAAGCTTCCTTCAAGTTACTAAGGGCGAGGCTGGGCCTAGAGAGGTACTGGGCAGGTCCAGCCACGCCTCCCGCTGTGTCTATGGTTATCAGGTTAGCATCCCAGGCCGCAGTCTCCAAAACAACTAAACCAAGCTGCAAAGGCATTTCCCGCCGAGCTCGGCCCTCTCTTGGGGTCTGGTGCACGTGCGAGGCTCTCCGCCCTACCGGAGCACAGCTGGAAGAGATCATAACACTGAAGTCAAAGAAAACCTGCACACCATGGAACGAAAGTATATTAACCATAGGAGGGGACACTGCAGTCGGCGTGTGCCACGTCCATCTGTCCAGCTCTGCTCAGTCCGAGATCACTCTGAGTCACTGCTGTCGGAGCTGGACCCGCTGGAGCTGCTGCTCGCAGACTCAGAGGAGCTGCTACTGCTGAGCCTCGACGGGCCTCCCGAGGGCGCTGAGCTGGATTTCTCTGCAGGGACACAAGGGAGGCCCTCGCTGAGCACTGTGTCATCAAAAGTGTTTGCACCACCACCCTGCCATAGGTTGTCTGTGTCTTGACCCAGAGGTGCAGTACGTATTTGAAGGATGCCCATAAAGTAGCATTCAGTGGCCACATGGCCGCACTAGGACACATGTCACAGACCCTCACAGCCCTATCTGACACCAGGAAGATGGGAACCACAAAACTATAGCACTCAGTTGGTATGCAAGCCTAGGTGGGATCCCAACTGACCAATGGTCTCAGACTCTGTCCACTGCCTACATCCTAGAGCATCTCTGAAGCCAAAGGAAAAAGGT